GAAGGAAGCACTCTGAATTCATTATCCTTTGAATGTTCACTTGGTGCCACAGTGACTTGGTGACATTTCACTTGGCTGCCCCTCATGACCTATTTATAGGACCTGTTTTAAATATATACTTTGTTTGATACTTTAGAGAGACTATTAGAGATATGGGAATCTGGGTAGAAAAGGTTATGGAAATTAATTTAAAAGGTAAACAAACCCAAGGAATTCTAGGGTTTATCATGTAGGAGAAGCTAAAAATCTGTTTTCCTGGTCCTGAATACTGGCTTAGCAGGGCCACAGTGTGAGCTAGGGAGTGGTATTATGTTTGGTCAGTGTCCCTGAGGACAAGTCTGTCTGCAGACCCACAGAAGAAGAGTAAATAAATCTATGTTGTCTTTTGTTCATGGTCAGCACAGCTGTATGCTGACGCTAGGATACAGAGGACACTCTCCGTAGTCCACAGAAGACAAACTTACATGTCATAAATGTTGCTCACTGCGACTTTTGCAGGATGTCTCAGAAGCTGTTTGCACATCGAAGAGCTGCAAGTGTGGACAATGGGTTATTCTGACCACATATGACATCCCAGGATCTTCCTTAAAGTACTCTCCTAAATCCAGCCATGTATTTCTCTCTCTCTCTCTCTCTCTCTCTCTCTCTCTCTCTCTCTCTCTCTCTCTCTCTCTCTCTCTCTCTCCCTCTCTCTCTCTCTCTCTCTCTCTGAGAAATAGGGTTTCTCTGTGTAGCTCTGGCTGTCCTAGAGCTCTCTGTGTAGACCAAGCTGGCCTCAAACTCACAGAGATCTGCCTGCCTTTTCCTCCCAAGTGCTGGGATTAAAAGCATGCACCACCCACCACCATTGCCCAGCCTTATACTCTCTTGATGGGCAAATGAGGCAGGTCCTGCAGAAGGACTAAAAATATCCTAGAGATATCACTGATATCAAGAACCCAAGCCTCCCTTTCAGGTTTTTAGTCTTGTTAATAAAAGAATTTAAAAACAGACTCAGAAGTGCAATTTTATTAAGAGTTTGAGAAAAAAAAATAGAGCAGTCAAGCTGTAAATCTTAGCAGTTGCTGCAAAGAGGGGACCAGGAAAGAGGAGGGGAAGAAGCCATTCCTTTTGCCGTGGATACGGAGAAGAGGCATGACATCAGGGTGAGTGAACAGCTCGGCCCCAGGGGAAGCACACTCAGGCTCTTGGCCAGTATCCGAAAGAAAAGGAGATGAGAAAAGGAGAAGTAAGCACATTGTCTTAGGGTTTCCATTGCTGTGAAGAGACACCATGACCATGGCAATTCTTATCAAGGAAAATATTTAATTGGTGGCTTATAGTTCAGAGGTTTAGTCCATTATCGTTATGGTGGGACATGGTAGCATGCAGGCAGACATGGTGCTGGAGACGGAGCTGAGGGTTCTACATCTTGATCTGCAGGCGGCAGATGGAGACTGTGGACCACACTGGGTGTAGCTTCAGCACATATGAGACCTCAGAGCCCATCTGCACAGCGACACCCGTCCTCTAAGGCCACACCTACCCCAACAAGGCCATACTGCCTACAGTGCTACTCCCTAAGGGCCAAGCACTGGAACACATGAGTCTCTGGGGGCCATTCCTATTCAAGCCACCACAGCATGTCACCATTAAGTGATATCACTCCTTCCCTTTCTTAGCATGTCTGTAAGTGGATCAGGTTTTCCTGAAGCAGGGCGAACTTGGTTGTAAGCTTCTGGTTAGATGATTGGCAGGCTCAGCTGCCTTAGCTCTCAAGAGGAGAACGCAGTATAATGCTTTGGGTTGCTTAGACTGCTGTGTCTCTCTGCCTCAGCCAGACGTTTCTTCCAGGAAGAAGTAGTTTTCCCTTAATGAGCTTTAATCCAGTCTAGACACCTCCACTTTTAGGGATTTATCATGATTGTGGGGTTCAATGGCCTCCAAAGATAAAACAAATAACACCTTCCAGGTAGGGCTCGTTTTTCTTAGTAAAAAAATTCTAACGCTCTCAAATTAGGTAAAACCCATGCCTCTCATGAAGTGTGCAGCAAGCTGTATGCGAACCCAGGCTTGTTTGCCTCGCCCTTCCACACGACTCTCAAATACCTTCACAGTGCCACATGGAGGTATTTTTACTTATATTGTTTCTCCTCCTTGACCATGGTTTTGCCTTATAAGTTTCCAGTAACACTTGTTGGGCTGTGTACAGGAAAAATATAGAGAATATAGAGGGCTCAGTACTATACACAGCTTGAGGATCTTAGAAATTACCTTCCATGGTTAAGGGATTGTATTTGAACAGGAAATATACTACTGTATTTGAACAGGAAATCTAGCCTCCACCAGGCATAATGGGCCACACCAATAATCCTACCTTCCAAGAGTCTGAAGCGGGGGGGGGGGGGGGGGGGGGGGGAGGAAAGGGGGGGGGGGGGGGGGAGGGGGGGGGATAAATTCAAGGTCAGCCTGGAATAGAAAGAGGGAAAGGAATGGAAGGAAAGAGAAGATAGAGCTTCATGATTCAAAAATTGAAAACACAAAAGGCGAACTGCTTAGTCAGTCACAAGGTTTACCTAAGGGAGGTACCAGTTCTTGACGCCTGGCCTCTGGCCCCACCTCTTTCTCTTGCTTTTGGAATGGGGTGAGTTACAGAACTGATGAGTTTGAGAGGAAAACTTGGTGCCGAGCCCAGTTCTGCCCTTCTGAGGAAGGACATGATTCCACTGCCATAGGCCTTTGGCTCTTTAATTTTATCAACTGGAGGCTTGCTTAGAGTTTCAGAGGGTTAGCCTGTTATCCTTATGGCAGGGGCCTGGTGGGAGCCTGTCAGCCTGTCCGCATTCATGACACTGGAGGAATAGCTGACAGCTACATCCTGAGCCTCAGGTGGGCTTCTTTTGCTGGGAGGAGGGGGTGGGGAGGTGGGAGGGGTAGGGAGGGCTGGCATGAGCTTTTGAAACCTCAAAGCTCACCCCAGGGACACATTTCCTCCAACAAGGCCACACCTCCTAATCCATGGTCACTAAGCACCCAAATATGTGAACCTATGAGGGCCATTCTTATTCAAACCACCATACGTATTGACTCACTTGAAAGGAAGGCATAATGTAAGGAGAGAGAGACATACACAGAGAGAGACAGGGAGAGAGAGAGAGACAGGGAGACACAGAGAGAGACATACACAAAGAGAGACAGAGAGAGACAGGGAGATTGACAGTCTGAGACAGAGACACAGAAGCCACTAGGTGGACTTGTTGGAAAGACGTTGAGAGTTCCCCTGTGAGAGCGAAGGTACATTTAGCCGGAGATTTGAGAAGAAGTGGGAACCGCTGTGGGGAAGACAGAAAAAAAACAAAGTAGCTGCCACTCAGAAGCACCTGGAGGCCTCTGCTAGGCTGTGAGCAGAACTCAAGGCAATGCTCGCAGTAGGGTGTTTGGGTCTGCAGCCCCTTCCAACTGCTCAGGGAGCGTGAGTGCTCTCGGAGATGAGTTTGTCTCCACCTAGACTCAGCATTTCCAGTTCTACTTGGGTAGGCGGCCAAGTCCCTCACTTCATGATAAGAGTCCTAGAGACTGGCCGGGCCGGGCAGTAGTGGCACACGCCTTTAATCCCAGCACTCGGGAGGCAGAGGCAGGCGGATCTCTGGGAGTTCGAGGACAGCCTGGTCTACAAGAGCTAGTTCTAGGACAGGCTCCAAAGCTACAGAGAAACCCATTCTCGAAAAACCAAAACAAACAAACAAACAAAAAAGAGTCCTGGAGACCGAGAGGGATGGGAACAAGACATATGTGTTGCCTATCACAAAGCACAGTTTATAAACCCAAACACAGGACCCTTTCCTGCATTTTTTTTTTTAATTTTTGGAAATGAGAAGTGTGCGATCTTCCACATCGCCTGGGCCCTACCTTCCCCACCGCCACCTACCTATGTCTTTTTCTCAACAAAAATTACAAGTGGCTTTATCGCTACATTTTACATCTTCTGCGTTTAAAGCTTTGCAGCACGACCTCGCAGGCAAGCTTGGCCGCTGCCAATGTTCTTCTCCAAACTACTATTTTGGCGAAGAGGGTAAAGCTTAGCAGAGATGGATGGGATAGGGTAGCCAAGCCTGCCATGTTATCGGAATCTGGAGGTCTCTGTCCATGTGCACCTGGCTCAGATGCCTTTGAAAACGAGCCATCAGATTTTAGTCCTCACATGGCTAAGAAGAGATTTAGTTTGATTTTACTTCTCTGTTTAGCCCAGGCTGATCTCTAAGTTACTAAGTAGCTGAGGGTGACCTTGAACTCCTGATCCTCCTGCTTCTACCTCTTGAGTGCTGGGCTCCTGAACTTAGGCCTCGGCACCCAGCTCTGTCGTGAAAGGTGTTATAAGACTAGGGGTACAAAGGGAATTTCCTTCCTACCATAGTATCATAACTGATATTAAAATGTCCATTTAAAAATAACAATAATGGCTGTTAATAACTAAACAGTTGGTTTGCCTTTTATTTATCATAATTATCATTATAATCCCTTCCGTTTGACAATTCAAATGAAAAGGCAAAGACTTGGGAGATGACACCCTTGCAAAATGCTTGCTGTGCAAGCGTGAGGACCTGAGTTCGGATCCCTACACGCATGCAAAAAAGCTTGACATGGTTCTCGCCCCAAACTGCTTGTTTACATTTTTAGCAAAGGTCGTGGCTGAACTCATCCGCCAGACTGATAAACTCTTCCTCTTCTCAGGGACAGAAATTAAAGCTAATTTGGCCTAAGTAAAAAAAATAACTGATATAGGCCCATGTACCAGAAACATCTATGGTAACGTGACACCGTTAGGTCCACCTGTGTCCGGAGCCTCAGCTGAAGACCTGTACATGACCTTGATTGGTGGGCGGCACCTTTGGCAGCGGCACAGATCAAAAGAGTACAGTAGAAGGACCATTATCCTGCCTCGTGCTTGTTCCTGCCCCTCCTTCACGGCTACCAGAGCCAGCGGTCCCAGGCTCCCAGCAGGGGCTAGGGACCAGCGGCTCTCCAGGAACCTCCCAGGTTCTCAGTGGCAGACTGGGACCATGGAGGCATCCAGCCTTGTGGACTGAGCAGGTGCTGGGTTATCGGTCCTTTCAAGGAGAGACAGCCATTGTGGGATTACTCAGACTACGATGACCGCCAGGTTCAGAGGCAAGCAAGTACTGGAGGCTCAGCTTCCCAGGTGTGATTTGGATGTTGTTAGCGCGGGCCGTGTGTGTGTGTGTGTGTGTGTGTGTGTGTGTGTGTGTGTGTGTGTGTGAGAGAGAGAGAGAGAGAGAGAGAGAGAGAGAGAGAGAGAGAGAGATACAGTCATCCTGTTGGTTCTGTTCAAGAGATCCTTGACTAATAAATACTGACGACAGGTGACTGAGCAGCTGGACCAGGGTTGAGGTTAGGCGAGCCCACTCTTCTCTCGGCTTTAAATTCCTCTGAGGTTGGTTGGCTCCATATCTGTTGAAGACACGCTTTCTCTATCCAGGTCCCCACTTTCCTAGTAACGCCAGCGTTCTTGCTTCGGCTGATCTCAGTGGGGTCATGTGGACTAAGTTCTCTGCGGTTTGGCTATTTACACGCATTCTTGGGTTTTGCCTGTTGTGGTGAAGGAAATGCTTCACGATGTCTGTCGTCACCACCAGCCTAGCTTCCTCCTCCAGCCCTGAGCGCTGGGCGTGAAGCATTTCTGCTTAGATTCCTCCGCCGCTGTCAGCCCTTAGCCTTCCTCAGCTGACCACCTGCTGCTCCTGCCCCGTGAACACCCCTGTCTCCTACGGCCGCTGCTCTCCTCTCCAGCCCCCATACAGGCAGGGAGGACACTCGGGTTCCCAGGCCCTACAACTCCGCGCGTGGAGCTTCATGTGTCATGGCGCCAGACCGTGTACCTGCTCCGGCAGCTGTCACGGGTGTGTGCCTGGTTGCTCCTCAGACTGTTCTGAAGCGTTGACTCTTCGTCCTTGCACAAAGTAAACACCACTGCGTGTTGTAGGCCCTCAGTCTTGTCTCTCATGCTCTGTTGAACTCGTTGACAGCTGTGGAAATCAGAAGGGCACAGTAGGCCATGTTTTTTTTTTTTCTCTCACAGTTTAACTGCCAGATCCGACACGGTAATGATCATACAGTCTTCTAAAGTGGAAGTTGCGTTGTCTTACGTGAATGAAAATGACTCCAAGTACCTGGACCTGCACTCCCCATAATAAGGGTGCAATCTTCAGCTCACCTTGAGTTACCTTCTGCTGGGTGGGATTGACACCAGGTCTACCCAAACCAGGCGCCAGACTGTTGTTCTTCAAGATAGCAGTAGTTCCCTTTCTAAGTAGTGAGAAGCCACTAGAGTCAGTTAAGTGTTCTCAAGAATTTAAAAATAGGGGCAAACACTCACTGATACAGAATGGTTTAGATGGTACCCCTGATCTAGCTGCCTTTGCCCAGTCGTTCCATCCAGGGGTGAAGAGCAAGTCACCTGCTCCACTCCGACCACCCAAGAGAGCGCAGGAGCAAGAGAGAGTGAGACCCTCTACCTAAACTTATAAATTGTGACATCTGCAGACAAGACCACACCCCAGGATTTGTAATCCCCAAAAGCCATTAGCTAAAGGGATGGAAATCCCACAGCACTGTCTATGCCTCAGCTTCTCTATAAATCGCAGATGTTTAGTCTTCACGTCTTAGGAAGAAAACAGAGTAAAGTCCGTTATCTCTTGACTCATGCATTTCTATATCCCAAAGCTTTGCCACTAAATCGAGGTTTGCCCTGCCCCAGGAATTCTGTACACATTAACACTGGCAATCACGTCCATCCAGCTTGGCCCTAGTGTGATCACCATGAATCTAGTTTATGTGTCTATGGATTCACCAGCTGGATGTTTCATACAAACAAACTCACAGTCCACAGTCTTCCATGCCCAGTTCCTCTGACTCAGAACAGCGTTTTCAAGCTTTGCCCATGTTCTTAGCCTGTTTGTCCATGTTCTCAGCCTGTTTATCCATGTTCTTAGCATGAATCAGCACTTCATTTCCTTCCTTAGCTTTTTACAACCCATGTTGTGATGGTACCAGGTTTTTATTAGTATACATTTTTGAGTACACATTTATCTAAATGCAATCTATAAGAAAGATGGATGGATATTTGGTTTGCTACCATTTTGGGGTGACTATGAATAATGCTGTTCTGAATATTCATGTTCATGACACATTTATTAATTCTCTTGAGCTTTAGGAGTGAAACTGCTGAGTTTTGTTTGTTTGAGGCAGGGTCTCTCTACATATCCCCGGCTGGCCTTGAACTCACAGACTTCAAGCAGGAAAAGAAAAAGGAACCTGCCTCTGTCTCCTGGTTGCTGGGATTAAGGATGTGTACTACCATGCCTGCCTGAACTGCTGGGTTTTGTTTGTTATCTATCAGGGTCTCTCTAGGTGTCCCTGGCTGGCTTTGAACTCACAGACTTCAGTCAGGAAAAGGGAAAGGAACTTGCCTCTGCCTCCTGGTTGCTGGAATTAAGGATGTGTACTACCATGCCTGCCTGAACTGCTAGGTTGCACAGCATCTCTATGTTTTAGCTTTTGGGGATCTAACAGAATAGTTTTTGAAGTAGGTTGTGCCCTTGCCATACCCTCCAGCACTGTCCAGGATTCTGGTGTGTTTCTGTCCTGGCTGATGCTCCTCATTGTCAAGCACGGTAAGGGCATGGCTGCAATAGAAAAGATACACAATGACTTAGGGATGTGTATTTCATGGTTTGTCTTAACAATTCAGCATGCCTTCAGCTTGCTGCTCAATTATTCCAGCTTTCTCCCCCCCCTTTTTGATTTTTATTGAGCAATTATTCCAACTTTCATCACTGAAAATTAACTCTTTTGGCTCTTGTATTCCATTGAGGTGCGCATGCAAGCATGTGTGTGTTTGTGTCTGTGTGTCTTTGTATATGTGTTTGTGTGTGTATGTGTATGTGCATGTGTGTTTGAGCATGTATGTGTACATGTATGTATGCATGTGTGTTCAGGTTCTTAGTTGTCTGATCTTTCTGAAGCTGGAGCTAAAGGTAGTGTGAGCTGCCCAGAGGGTGCTGGGAACCAAAGTCTCATCCTCTGGAACAGCTGTACATGTTCCTAACCACTGAGCCAGCTCAGTGAAAACTGAGCCCCAGTTTTTCCATTTTTAAAACATTTTTATTTCTAGGTTTTCAATTCTATGCCATTGATTGATACATTTATCCTTACACCAGGACGTCACAGCTTTGATTAGTACAGTCTCCCTGGAGGTTAAATTTTGCAGTAATGTAAACAATGTCTTCCATTTATGGAGTCCCATGTGTCTTGTAAAAGACTCTCTCAGAGCTGTCCAGAGAGGAGTTGCACTCTGAATTTGGACTGGAACCTTTATTCATGTACTGAGGAGGATGTAAGGTGTGAAGGATTGTGAAATTCCTTTAGGGCTTAATTTCACACTGTGACATTGTTCAGCCGTGTAAACCCAGCAGCTTTACTAGACAGACGCACAGACTCCAGCAGGATAGAGGGAGGCGCTTTGGGCATAGGACATGAACTTCCTGTTAAGCTTCTGAGAGGCTCTTAGGCCCACTCTTTCTGGGAGCATAGCCACTCTGCCCCCTGAGTCATTCCCTGTTGATTCTGCGCCTCACGCCTGGCTCTGTGGCCACTCTTGTATCTGTAAAGTGACTGTATGCTCCTGGTGTCTTAGAAACAAGCCCATCTAAAATTTAGTTTTATGTATTTTTATTTGTGGCGTGTGCGCGCGTGTTCAGTGCCTGTGGAGGTCGGAAGAGGGTGTTAGATTTCCTGGAGCTGGAGTTACCGGTGATTATAAGTTGCCAGGCAGGTGTTTAGAAGCCAAACTTGGGTCCTATGGAAGAACACTATTTTCTTTCAGCTGTTGAACCACCTCTCTAGCCCCAACAAATGCGTTTTTGAAAGGCTTTTCTTCTTTGATCATTAAAATAATGCTCTTTAGACAGGGTGCTTAAGCTGTCATCGCATATCTGAAAATAGCCGGTCTTTTTAGACATGTTCGAGCCTTTGAGGACCACACTGCCAGTGACGTCCATCAACTCATGGACCGGAGAGTCGGCTCAGTAGGTAACGATGTTTGTCACTAACCCTGAAAACCCGGGTTTGATCCCCAGGACCCATATCCACATAGTACAAGGCGACAACCAGCTCCTGAAAGTTGACCTCTGACCTTTACAAGTGTGCCGTGGTGACCTATGTGCACATGTGCATGCGAACAATAAAGCAATGTAACAGAATTAATTTTAAAGAATTAAGCATTGAGTGGCTGGAGAGGTGACAGCCAGTGAAGCGCTTGTCATGTGGGCATCAGAGCCTTGGGTAATCTAAATTGGTGCAGGCACAACCTTTCCAGGAAGCAATATAGATAGTTATCAAGCACACTATTAAGTTTTATAAACTTTAACCCAGGATTTCAACTTCTAAAACATCAGAAAAGGTTACACACAGAAACATCCTTTATGTGTCTGAAAACAAGAAGCCAAACTCCTAACAGATAATGCTTACAAAGAAGTCAGTTTGCTGGAACATTAAGATGCTATCAAATAATTGATTTCCTTAGTTAATTAGTGATAGAATCGTTTGGAAACAGGATGACATGCGGAGTTGTAAATATGTGGTGTGATAAGTACAGTTCTAGATTAGGATTCATAGAAGACAATATTATTATCTGAATATAAATCCACAGCTCCCGTGTCTGCGTACTTGGTCCCCAGCTGGTGTGCTGTTTTGGGAGGTTGCTGGCAGAACTAGGTCTTTCTGGGTGGGCTGTCGGTGGTTACACCAACTTATTTCCTGTTCTGCCCACCTTGTGAAGCCTGGTTGTCGCATGATTCTACCGCCATATACCAGCTTCTCAGCGGTGCCTTCCCCACCACGATGCACTGAGATCCCTCAGTAACCCTAGGCCAGAATCAGTCTGGGCCCCGGGAAGTTACTTCTGCCAGGTGCCTGTGGCATATGTCACGACAGGTATGCCATGATAATGATGCGGAGAGTAGCCACCACAGAAAAGAAGGAATGACAGCAAAGTGTCAATCACTGCAGGAGTTACTGCCTCTAGAAACTGCAGCCGTTTGCCAGTGTACATGTTAGGGGAAGGGTGTATTTTTATTACTTTATTACTTGAATTTTATATTTTTTCATTAAAAAACATTCTAC